ATGTGCACTTGCCAGACAGACAGAGAGAGACAGAGAGACAGAAAGCGAGAAATCACCCCCCAGGGGGGATGGCCACGCTGCAATCCCTTCTCCTTCTTTCTCCTCTCGGGATCTTGGGCACGCACGCACATGCGCCCAGCGTGAGTTTTAAGCCACCGGGTCCGAGATGCGAACCGTGGTCGACTACATGGGAGTCCAGCGACATAGCCATTACGCTAACTGCTGGTCCCCCTCTGTGTTTCTTTATGTCTCTATTTCTCTAATATTTTCTCTGTCTCTTTCCTTCTCCCTCTGACTCCCTGTCTCTGTATTTATGTCTCTCTCTCTCTCCCCTCTGTCCTTTTGTCTCTATCTCTGTCTCTTTACCTCTGTCTCTCACTATCTTTGTCTCTCTGTCTCTGTCTGTGTCCCTCTGTCTCTGTTGCTCTGTATCTTTCTCCCTCTTTCTCTGTTGCCCTTTCTCCCTCTTTTTCTCTCTGTCTGTCTCTGTTTCTCTGCCTGTCTCTATGTCTCTCTGTCTCCTTCTCTGCCTCTGTATCTCTTACTCTCTCTGACTATCTCTCTGTCTCACTCCTTCTCTCTGTCTCTTTCTCTTGGTCTGTCTCACCATATCTCCTGTCTGTCTCTCTCAGTCTTTCTTTGTGTCTCTCACTGTCTCTGTCTTTCTAGCTCTCTATGTCTTATCTCTTTGTCTCTGTAGATCTATTTCTCTGTGTTCTTCCTATCTCTGTTTCTCTCTGTCTCTCTCCTCCTATGTCTCCCTGTCTCGAACCTGTGCTGAGAAGGCAACAGCTGGGCTCACATGACTGGATAGGAGGTGGACACCCATCCTTCCAGAAGGTTCCAAACGACAGGTGGAGAAGCAGTGCAGGGCAGGAGATTGCCTCTTGTGACCTTTCCCTGAGGAGTGCCTGGGGCCGGAAGCCACAGCTCTGGGACACACAGACTACTCCGTGTCAAAGCCCCTGGCCCTAGGGGCAGCTGGGGACCAGACTGGGCAGGAGTTGCCAGTGGCCACTTAGCCACCGGACAAGATTGCCACATGGGGACCTGTGACTTTGTGGGCTCACAGGGAGAACGGGCAGGCTGGGGCTCCCCAACACCCTGGGGTCCAGGACAGGGAAGGACAGGGGGACCCCTGAGGACAAACACTGGCAAACACAAGGTGCACCCGAGTGTGCATGGGCCAGGGGAGGGCCATGGGCAGGTGCAGGCAGGGTCACCGAGAGCACTCCCCCATGATGGGGTGTGGTGTCACTGTCCAGTGGAGCCCGGGAACACACCTGTCTTCCCTGCACGCCCGTGCTGTCCCCACACCCCAGCCCCTCTGGGCTCAGCAGCAGCCATGCTCTCTGGCGGCTCAGGATGGAGTCCTCTGACCCCCACAAACAAGCAGCCAACCAGCTGGGAGCAGGTGCTGGGGGCATCAGCCTCATCCAGGCCTGGGCCAGGGGGCAGGCGGGAGGCCACATCCCAGCCCTCCTCCACCCCACGCAAGTTGGAAATTCTCGGTCTTTGGCCCCCAGCACCTGGCCTCACCTTCCGCTCCAGCTGGACCCAGGCCCCCAGAGCTGCGGCCTAGACCCCAGCCCAGGGCCACCTCCTCCTCCCATGCCCAGCTCGATTGCTCCACACCCCACAGGCCCCAGCAGGCCTGGCTCTGTGCTGACCCATAGTCCCTTGCTCTGTGTCCCCCAATGCCCCAGGTCTCAGGCTGTACCTGCTGGCTGAGCTGTCCTGGCTGTCCCGGCTGTCCAGGCCCTCTTGGGGGCCCACAGTAGCCCAGGGTCCCCAGGGTCCCGCGCCCTCTGCCCTGTTCAGCTCCCCAATGGGTCTGTGGGTTCTCCTCAAGGCCCAGAGACCTGTTCTGGCTGGCACGGGGCTGGCGCACAGGGCAAGGGAGGGTGGGCACGGGGGCTGGGGACCAGACCTCAGGCCCCACCCGTAGACAAGCCCCCAGGCTCTGACCTGGCACCGACTGACCCGATTGCTCCTGATGGTGTTTGGAGCCTCCCCTGAGGTGGCCCAGTGGGCCTGCACCCTGGACCCCTCTGAGCAGAGGGCAGGAGCCCGGCTCGCAGGGGACCTGGGGCAGGACGTGGGCGCAGCAGGGGGCGGTGGGGCCTGGGAAGCTGGAGGCTCAGACATGTTACTTGGGCCCGTAGGAGACCAGGCCCGGTGAGCCTCAGGGCCTCCCCCGGCCAGGGTTTGGGTGTGTGAGTGCGGGCTCAGGGCCTCCCCCGGCCAGGGTTTGGGTGTGCGAGTGAGGGCGAGTGTGCGAGAGAGGGTGGGGATGTGTGTGAGGAGGTTGGCGTGTGGTAGGGAAGTCCTGAGGGCTGTATGAGGGTGCGTGTCCCGCTCTGCCCAGCTGCAGCCTATGTCCCTGTGTGGCCTCCACACCTGGTCTCTGCCTCTGGAGGTCTCTCTACCCCTCTCTGACTTTCCCTGTCTCCCTCTCTTCTGCCATCTCTGCCTGTCCTAGCTGTCTCTCTGTGCCTGTCTCTGGGGTCTGCCGCTCTGTCTCTCTACTTCTATTTCTACCCCTCCATCTTGCTGGACCCTTTGTCTTCCTGTCTCTTATCTTGCTCCCATCTCTGTCTCTCTCAATGTCCCTATCTCTCCCATATCTCTCGTCTCTGTGTCTCCTCATCCCATCTCTTTCTCTTTCCCATCACTGTCTCTCAGTGACTGTCTCTCCTGTTTCTGACCCTCCTCCCCTCTGTCTCTTCCCCTGTCCCCTCCGTCTCTCTCAGTGACTCTCTCTCTCCTGTGTCTCTCATCCTCCTTATCTCCTTCCCTGTCCCTATCTCTGTCTCTGTCAGTGACTGTCTCTCCTGTCCCAGTGTCTTGTCTTCTCTGTCTCACCCATGTCTCTGTCTCTCCCGTGGACCTTCGGTTTCTTGAGTAATGGGGTGTGGGTCCTGCCATGAGCAGGCTACTGTAGGTGGATGGCCGTCCTGGACACAGCTTGGGGGACGGCCTCTCAGAGCCCTGGCTGAGCCCCACAGTTTGGCCTTGCCTCTGGGCCCAGGAGGAGCCGAGGGATGGGGTGAGCAGGTGCAGGGTGTGGTGGTGGTCAGTCCAGACACGCCTGGGCCTGCCGTGCTGGGCACAGCCTGATGGACTGGACATGGGGTCGCTGACCTGGCTGTGTCAGGGCCGAATCTGTCAAGAGCCCTTCAGATCCAAGCCCAGGAACCAGATGACCCTGGGTGACCCCGGGAAGGCCTCAGCAGGCCACGGCTGACCTGAGTGACCTTGGCCTCATCCGGCCACACTGGCCTCTGTGATTGACCTGTGGCTGACCCTGGCTGACCCAGGCTGATGGTGGCACACGTGGATGACCTAAACTGAGCTGGAGGTCACAGCTGAGACTTGGACTGACCCTGGGTGAGCCTGGTGGGTCCTGGCTGACCCTGGGCTGATGGGACTCAGGCTTCATGCAGGCCTTGGGGCCCTTTACTGCCCCAGGGCTCTGGCCCCTTGCCCAGTCTGGGGCTCACCTGGCCAGGTCACGGGCTGGGCAAGGCTCCCAGAATGGGACTCTGGCTGAAACACCTGGGCTGGGCTGCGTTCACACTGAGTGAGCTGCCCCACAGGGTTATTTTGGGGGTTTCGGCAGGTGTCAGGACACGGGAGGCTTCAGAAGAGAAAAACAAGAGAACACAGCACCATGGCTCCCCTCTCTTTCCTGTCCCCCCTCCTGTATTGGAACCCATGACTGGTGACCCTCAAGGACTGAGGGTCCAGCTAATGAAGGCCTGGGGCCTGGAGCCAAGGGCCAGGACTGACCCTCAGCCATGTGCCTGCATATGCCAGGATTCGGAAATCAGGACCAGATCCTAGAGGTCAGGACCAGGGTCAGTGATCAGACTCATGTCACAGTGACCAGGACCCAGGCTCAGTGACCAGGACCAGGGCTCAGTGACCAGGACCAGGGCTCAGTGACCAGGACCAGGGCTCAGTGACCTGGACCAGGGCTTAATAATCAGGACCAGGGCTTAGTGATCAGGACTAGGGCTCAGTGATCTGGACCAGGGCTTAGTGACCAGGACAAGGGCTCAGTGACCAGGACCAGGGCTCAGAGACCAGGACCAGGGCTCAGTGATCTGGACCAGGGCTCAGTGACCAGGACCAGGGCTCAGTGACCAGGACCAGGACTCAGTGACCAGGACCAGGGCTCAGTGACCAGGACCAGGATTCAGTGACCAGGACCCGGGGTCAGAGAGGAGGACCAGGGCTCAGTGACCAGAACCAGGGCTCAGTGACCAGGACCAGGGCTCAGTGACCAGGATCAGGGCTCAGTGACCAGGACCAGGGTTCAGTGTCAGGACCAGGGCTCAGTGACCAAGACCAGGGCTCAGTGACCAGGACCAGGGCTCAGGGATCGGGACCAGGGCTCAGTGAGGAGGACCAGGGCTCAGTGACCAGGACCAGACTCAGTAATAAGGACCAAGACTTAGAGACCAGGACCAGGGCTCAGTGAGGAGGACCAGGGCTCAGTGGCCAGGACCAGGGCTCAGTGATCTGGACCAGGAATCAGAGACCAGGACCAGGGCTCAGTGACCAAGACCATGGCTCAGTGACCAGGACCAGGGCTCAGAGTTCAGGACCAGGGCTCAGAGATCAGGACCAGGGCTCAGAGATCAGGTCCAGGACTCAGTGTCAGGACCAGGGCTCAGTGATTTGGACCAGGGCTCAATGATTTGGACCAGGGCTCAGAGATCAGGACCAGGGCTCAGTGACCAGGATCTGGCTCAGTTTTGGGGCTCAGTGACCAAGACCTGGGCCCAGTTTTCAGCTTCGGGATCAAGACATCTTTGGAGTGGTGTGTTCCTGGCACCCTCTGGGGAAGCTGCACTGCTTCTTTGCCTGCCCCTGTGCAGAGCCAGGCCCTGTCTAGGCACTACAGATGTACATGGGTTGCCCACCGCAGTCCTGCCTTGGGCCAGGAGCAGGCAACTCTTTGACCTGTTCTCTCATCACGACCTGAGGAGATCTGATTTGGGATCAGTTTATTGCATCAGGAAGGCACATGAATCAAGGCTGGGTTGGTGCTTCAGGTTGACTCTGGCACATAGCGCTGGCTTCTCTTAGAGGTTCCTCCACACTTCTTCCCTGCCAAGATAAGAGGGTCTACCCTAGAGGAGCTCCGAGGCTGGGCAGCTCTTGCTGATGCCGTGTTTCAGAGTCTGCAAGCTCATGGGAGACTGGATCAGACCCTGGGGTTCCTGGACACCCTGATGCCAGCCCTGTCCCTGCTCTCAGGCCTGTGAAGGGACCACCTACCTGGGAGGCAGCGCCCCATGTGGTGGGAACAGGTAATGCCCTTCTTGGCTTCTGCACCCCCGGCCCCTTCAGTCCAGTATTCTCCCTCCTGTCCCGTGTCCCCATCTGTGCCTTACTGGCTTGTGCTCAGTACTGGGGGCCCTCCCTGCTGTTGGGCGGGCCCCGGATGCTCGTCACGGTCAGTGCTGTGCTGTAGAACAGGCTCAGCAGGGAAAGGGTGAGGAGGGGGACGGTGGGGGG